ATAATTTATTCTAAAATTATAAATAAGATATTTTTATTTATATTTTTTTCTAATATAAGATATTAAAATTTAGTAAAAAAAATATTAAATTTATAATAAATTTATTAAAGATAGAATAAATTAGTATAAATATTAATTTTTAAATTTAAATTTCTAAAAATTTTCTCTAAAATTTTTAAAATCTTAATATAATTACTTAATTTATAGATTTTATCTTAAATATATAATAAGATTTAAATATATAAGTTTCTTTTAAAATAATTAATTATATAAATTATTTTATTATTTAGAGTTAGAAAATAATTAAGGTTTATAATTATTTTCTAATAAATTTAAAAAATAAAGTATCTTAAGTTACTTTATTAGTTATTAAATTTATTAGGATTAGAAAGTTATTTAGAGATTTAAATAATAAAAATAAATATAATAAGAGTAATAGTAGTAGTAAGAAGAGTAATAATATTAGTATCTTTTCTAGAAGAAAATAATAATTAAAAAGGCATGTTATTCTAAATAAGTACTTTAAATAATTCTTATTAGATTTTTTTAGCTTATATCTTCTAGTATTTAATTATATTATTTTTCTATTAAATATAATTAAGAAGGTTAGTAATAATAAAATATAGAATAAATAATTTATAAAGTTTTTTTATAGTAGTAATAAAGAATTAATCTATTTTAATAATATATTATCTTAATTTATTAGGGATATTATATAGAAGGATTTTTATACTTTTAGGTAGTATAAATAATAAGATAGGTATAATAATAATAATTAACTTCTAGTAAAGAGGAGCTATATAATATTAGGGAGTAAAATTAGATTTAAATATTTATTAACTAGAAATTAATTAAATAAAATAATAAAATAGTAAGTATTAGATAATAAATAGAATATAGTTTAAAGAGTTATAATAGAATTAAGGATAATATAGCTTAAATACAGGAATAAGGGTAGATAGTCAAGGCAGAATCTAACTAGATAGGTACTACGGCTTCGCGCCGTGACACACGGCGTGCACTAGATGCACTGGTGCCAAGGCAAAATGATCACTAGGGTATATAAGGTGGGATTCGGGCAGATCAGACCATCAGGTCTGATCATAGTGACCTTTTGGTCCAATGGTTTAGACATGTTGCCCGAATTGCATGCTCTTACAATAAGAGATATTATATTTAATAAGGAAGAATTCTTCTTGAGAGATAGAGATATATTTATTCAAGTAATAAAGGATAATTTCCTAATAATTAAAATTAATAAATTTAAATAAATAATTAAGAATATTAAAGTTAAAACCTATATTCTAATTTAGGGAGTATCAAATATAGATCACCCTATAATAAAGGATATTCTAGAAGGTAATTTTAACTTACTTGATTATCTAGTTTAAATATTAAGATTAGTACTTAAAGCTATGGATAAGGATAAGAATACTAATATAAATAAGTAAATAGCCTATCTAATATTACTAGGTGGCAGCCTAGAATAGTTAGCAGCAATATTAGCAGGTGCTTACTAACATGAGACGGCCAAAACTAAAGAAGAAGCTAAGCTAAATAGAAGTTATTAAATTATATAGAAATTAGTATTCATGGCAGGGAGGTTAATATAACTAATCTAATAAGATAGAATACTAGCTTTTAAGGTAGAAATATAAAAATAGAATAGGAGACTAGAGAATCTAATTAGGACCTATCTAGATTAATTATTAACCCTTCTAAAGATATACTACCAAGTTAAAAACTACTTATTATCTAAAGAATTTATAAAGATAGAGTAGGACTACCTAGCTAGCTATAAAATAATAAAAATATAAATAAAGATAGATAAACTTAAGTATATAAAAATACTAGAATATAAATAAATATATATATATAAAAGTAATTAAGGTAGTAATCTAACTAAATATAAAGCATGCTTAGTAGTAAGAGAAGATTAATAAAAAGATTTAATAAAGGATTTATATACTATAATTCTAGTAATAAGATTTTTTTAAACCTTCCTAGTAATAATAGCCTGATTTAATCTAGAATTAAAGTAATATAATATTATAAATATATTTATTAATATAGATAATAATAAGGAAATATATATAGAAATATCTTTAAAATATTAAAAATTAGATAAAGTATTAAAGCTAAAGAAAATATTATATAAACTTAAATAATCTTCTTACCTATAATAGATAATTTTTTAAAAGATCTTAAAGTTACTAGAATATAAATTTATTTTATATAAATTATATTATATTACTAGAGATAAGATTTTAATATTCTTTTATATAAATAATATTATATTTACCTATTATTAAAAATTATTAATATAAATACAGGCTATTATATAAGAGTTTTAGGACTAGTTTAAGATAATAAGAGGAAATAACCTATAATAGTTCCTAGGAATAGAGATTACCTAGGATAGAGAGAATAAGCTTATCTAGCTAGATTAATTAGTATATATTAATAAGATTACTAACCTAGTAAATAAAAAGGAAGGTCTAGATATTACTTTTATATTAGTAAAAATAGTACCTTAGAAAGATTAAGATAGAGTATCTTACCTATATATTTAATAATATTAATAAAAGATAGGATCTATAATATATATAATAATTATAATATAACTAGATATTATATTTATAGTATTCTAGCTATCTTAATATTTTATAAATCCTAGTAAAGAATACTATATTAAAGTAGATTAATACTTATAATATTTAAAAAGAATAAATAAACTTATTCTATAATTTAGAGATTTAGATAACTACCTATTATATAGTAATACCTTATTTATAGATAATTAGGACTAGAGAAGCTTATAGGGGTATATTATAAAGTTATTTAAAGATATAATAAGGTAGAAAGCTAGTAAGTAGGTAACTATAATAACCTTAATAATTAAAGTAGAATTATTAGTATTATTATATATAGTAAAGAAAGAAATCTTTATTAAGTATTTATTAGATAAAATCTAGATAGAATTAAAGAATCTAATTATTAATATTTAATATAATAATATATAAACTATCTAACTAGTAAATAAGGAAATTAACTACTTAAATATAAGGCTATACTATATAGATATTTATAATTACTAGATTAGATAAGAAGTCTAGAAGGGAAAAATAAAAGTATTATATTATTTTATTATTAAAATAATTATAGATAGGTTAATTAAGGTACTACCCTACTAAAGCTTTAAGATATTTATAAAGGATTTAGGGATAATAAAGAGACTAAAGTTAATAGATAATTTATTACTAGATATAGTTTAAACTTATCTAGAATAAGGATAGTATCTTAAATTATATAGTTATAAGTTTAAACTAGATAAAATCCTTTAAACCTAAGGGGGTGTATTAAATTAAGGGTGCTGCTATTCTCACGGCTCAGCTGGTCATTCTCACAGCACAGCTAGCCCTTTTAGGTTAGTAGGTAGGGTACCTAACTAACCATAGTTAGTATATAGGTCCTCACTAGTTAGCATGTAGTTATATAGAGTACCTCACCTAATCAGGTTAGTTATATGTGGGGGTTTATTCTTAATTTTTAGTTATATGGATATGCATGTGACCTAGTAGTCTAGTAGTCTAGCAGGATATTACATAGATTCCCAGAAAACCTTGTAAAGCTATAAATTATACTATACAAGATCTATTATTATTTAAATATACTAAGTAGCTAGTATCAAGCCAGGTAGGTAGGGAATTAATTACTTAGAAAAAGTAGGAATAATCAGATTAGCATGTAATAGAGGAAGAATTCCTAATTAAATAAAGTCTTCTAATTAGTTAGTAAATATATTATATAAATATTAGAACTTATAATCTTATTTATTACTTTAAAATTAAATTCCTAAGTATTATTTTTATATAAGAAATTAATAAAATAATACCTTAAGCTTCTCTAGCATGTTTTCATAATTATATGACTAGTCTAGTCCTATTTAGGTCTAGCTAGTTAGCACTATTCTATAAAAGGTCAGGTTCCTGCTAATGTGGAGCTGCTACGCCCAAAGAGGCTAGCTGTGCCGTGAGAATGACCAGCTGAGCCGTGAGAATAGCAGCACCCTAAATTAAAGGGGTATCCTATAATATACTTAGTAAGTAAAGGGGGATTAAAACCCTATATTAAGGCCTTAGGCAAGCACACAACCCCCCAAGACATACACATATCAATATATCCGATCACCTGCTTCCATTAAGCTACCCCTAGGATCATCATATATCCGACACTACCAGGTGCTCACATGATCGGAACACCTCAGCCCACCTTTAAAACCGCACATCTTTCGCCAACGCTACTGTAAATTATTAGGGGTAAATAGGGCATACTCAGCAGTAGTTTAGATTTGACATACATGCTTTTCTGTGTTGAACTTTTGTCATCTGACTGCGAGAGGCCAACTCTCTGTTATTCCCAAATTTCCCAGATTTCCCAAACTTCCCAGATTTCCCAAACTTCCCAGATTTCCCAAATTTCCCAGATTTCCCAAATTTCCCAGATTGCCCAGATTTCCCAGATTTCCCAGACTTTCTAGATTTTCAGTTTTCCAGACCACTGCTTAGTAATGGTATCCGTGCAACAAACGTAGCACTATCAGCAAATTTTAGGATAGTTAATCTTAATGCTTATCCATGTGTGCTGTACGTTTGGTTCTAATCCCAGCACCACGTAGAGGTGCCTGCCCATGCTGGGGTGGGTACCACAATGGGAATTGATATCGGAAGCGGAAGAATGATTACTCCGAACAGAGGAGGAACCTCCGATTTTGTGGCCACGTCGGCCAAATATTTAATAGTTAAGCACTCACGCACTCATACTCTAGATTACGTTTAGTAGAATATTACTACATGCCTGGGTTTCGTACAATTAGGCCAATCAACTCCCTCTGTCCATTCCTCTGAGCAGACCTTCGAGTACGGACTCTTCCCCGAGGACCACTCCAATCCTCTAGTAAGAAGGGGCACTCCATTTTTCTATTGTTCAACAAGCCATAGTACTGCCATCACCCTCGATCTGCTTCCATTGGGGCGATCATGAGTTGGCTAAAACACCATCCCCTGTCTTCCCTGGGCACTGCTTCGCAGGCCGGGTCGGATAGTGACGACAAAACCAATGAATCTAGAGACTGCTCAGACACCGAGTCCACATACAGCAGCGAAAGCGCGTCTAATGGTGGATATGGCACGGATGATACTCTTGCTGTTACTCGAGTATTGGAACAGCATGGTATCCCTTGCTGTCTGGTTGGTGTAGCTGCCCTTGTTTTCTACGGCGCTGGCAGAGTTCGTGAGGTAATGTCGCCCAGGAGCTCTATCTCCCATCTTTTTATGCAGAGACTAATAGTATCTGTCATGTCGCAGGACTGGGAAATTTGTGTCCCAACAGAGCTCGTGGGCCAGGCAGCAGAGATACTACAATCAGAACCATACGCAACGCAGTATCGTCTAGTCAAACCGTGGCCCTATTACAATCCCTACTCTCTTATCCACACATACCACCGGTTCAAAAGCAGAGGGATTAATCATTACTTCTTCCTTGTTCCTTCAATCGACATGCATATTGACTGTGACCCTTCCACCTTCACACGCAGTCCCAAAGGGTTGCCGTATCCCAAGCTGGATGTCTTTATTCAGAGCTGTTTAGACACCTGTGACATGCTCCAGCTTTGCGATGTTATAGACGGTACCAATGTTTCAGAAGAATGGGGCGAGAATAACCTTAACCTTGAGGGTACTAACGATGTAGAATGGGCCAAAGAAAAGAATAAGAGGGGAAAGGAGTTTGGCGGAAAGTGGGCTCATTCTCTGTTTGCCTGGGAAGGACGGAAAGATAAACGGGAGATGTGGCTGTCATTGGTGCGCACCAAGGAAGACAGGTTGGACTGGACAAAACCCAAGGATGTCTTTATAACTCAATATCGTGTCAAAGGCTCGCCGGATCCCTGGACAGAGCTATCTGACATGTCTTAATAGTCTCCAGCGGGGCATTCAGCCTTTTCTATCAATAGCTATAGGGGACTGTTAACGCCACACCCTGTATCGATCCAACCACACCCCTTCCCGATCCTGCCACACCCCCTGACTTGATAATGCCACACCCATTCATCACATGATTTTTTTTCTTGCTATATATAGTTTAGTGTTAGGGCAATTTTATAGGGTATTTGTCACGGCGCGAAGCTGTAGTACCTATCTAGTTAGATTCTGTCTTGACTATCTGTCCTTATTCCTATATTTAAGTCATATTATCCTTAATCCTGTTATAGCTCTTTAAACTATATCCTATTTATTACTTAATATTTACTATTCTATTATTCTATTTAATTAATTTCTAATTAATAAATATCTAAATCTAATTTTACTTCCTAATATTATATAGCTCCTCTTTACTAGGAGTTAATTATTATTATTATACCTATCTTATTATTTATATTATTTAAAAATATAAAAACTCTTCTATATAATATTCTTAATAAATTAAGATAATATATTATTAAAATATACTAGTTCTTTATTATTATTATAAAAAAATTTTATAAATTATTTATTTTATACTTTACTATTATTAATTTTCTTAACTATTGTAAGTGTCTCGCTGGCGAGGCGCTTGGGTATAGGTAGTATTGGTAAAGGAAGCTAAGCTACATGGAGTACAAGGGTAGTAGGAAGGTATTAGAAGTAATAAAATAAAGTACTTACTTCTTAGTACTTTAGGGATTATTATATTATTATTTATATTACTTAATTAAGTTACTAGTATAGTATAAGTAGCTTAAATATTACTATTTTTCTAATTATTCTTAATTACTAGGCATGTAGTTTAGTATATAGTTTAGTATATAGTTATATATTATATAATTACTATAATAATTACCTTTCCTCCCCTTAATAGCATGTCTGCGCGCTATATATACTATACCTAATCTAGCTTAGTACCTTATTAAGAAGGAGCTAGTCTGTCACGGCGACCACGTGACATGCAACCACATGCTGAACCACATGCCGAACCACATACCCAGTAACCAAGGGTAATCAGGAGAATAGTAATATTCAAGTTACCTATACTACACTAGTAACTTAACTAAGTAATATAAATAATAATATAATAATCTTTAAAGTACTAAGAGGCAAGTATTTTATTTTATTATTTCTAATATCTTCCTATTATTCTTATATTTTATATAACTTTGCTTCCTTTACTAATACTATCTATACTTAAGTATTATACTAGTAAGATACTTATAATTTAAAGTATTTTTTTAATTAAGTAAAATAATATAATAAATATAAGAAGAATTATTTATTTCTCTTTTTAAAAAATAATAAATTTAAATTCTATAAAATTTATAATTATAGTTCTAAAAACTATTATTAAGAAAGATTTAATAGTACTAGTAACTTTCTAGTACTAATTTATTAAGTTAATAAAAGATAATAAGCTATAATATATAGCTTAATATATAGTATAAATTATATAAATAGGTAGGAAAAAAGTACCTAAACTTAAGTTCTTTAAGATATAAAATCTAAAAAAATTTAATATCTTTCTAGAAAATTTTTAAAATTACTTTAGATTATAGGGAAAACTTTATAAGAGTAATATAATTAAAATTTATTATATTATAGATTATTTAAAAAATAATATAAAATAAATATAATATTTTAAATATAGAGTAAATTCTAAAGAACTTACTTATATAAAGTTTACTAAGTTCTTATAAAATTTCCTAAAACTAGAGAGAGACTATAAATAAATAATAATTTATTAGCTTTTATATATAAGATAAGGATTATAATAAAGTATATAAATCTTAATAATCTAAATAAAGGAATTTATTCTAATAATTAAAGTTAATCTTAAAGGATTTCTTTACTAGCTAGTTATTTAAATAGCCTGGCTAGAATTATATAAGAAAATCTAGTAGGATATAATAATATTATAAAATTTAGTTAAAATTATTAAACTAGAAGTAAGATATAAGAAACTTTAGAAATAAAAAAAGTAGGAAAAATTAAATAAAGTATAATTAAATTAATTCCTAGAATTTTATATATTAAAGAATAACTTAAAAAAAAAAAAAATAATAATAATAAAGTAATAAATTCTTAATTAAATAAATTTTAGTAAAAAAAGTTAAAAAAAAAGTAGTAAAATTACTAAAATTAATAAAAGAAAGGCTAATACTACTAGTATAATTAAACTAGTTATATTATAAGAAAATACCCCTAATATAAAGAAGATATTAAGAGAGTAAGAGAATTAAAGAACTAGAATTAATAATAATTAAATATTCTAGAATTCCTAGTACTTTAATAAAATAAAGAGATACTAGTAAGATTCTTTCTAGCTATTATAGTTATTCTAATAGATAAGAAATAAGTTATAATAAGAATACTTATAGATACTAAAATAAATAAAGATTTTATTTCTTACTACTTCTTAATTAAAGAAGGAATAAATCTTAATAAGATAAAGATAAAATAACCTATATATTTTATTAATAGCTTAATAATATTATACTATATAAGATTCTAGGTAAAGAGCTAAATTATAAATAGCCTTAATAAAATTAAAGAATTTAATATAAAATATTATATAGTAAATTTAGAAGAAAAAGAATATTAACTAATTTTAGAGTATAGTTAATTAAGTCTAGTTAATCTTAATATCTTCTTAGTAGTAAATATCTAGTACTACTAAGAGAAAAAGTTAAAGATTAAAATTAAATTATTTAAGTAATTTAAGAGTATAATAAAGTAAGGACTTACTATACTAATCTTAAGTTAATTATATAATAATAATAGTATAATAAAGGCTCTCCTTAAATATTATAAAAAATAGAAATTAATATTTTTAAAAAAAAAGGTAGAGATACTTTCCTTTAAAAAAGCTAGTTATAATATATTATTAGTTATTAGTATAATATTATTAATAGACTAGCTATATAATATATTAAGGATAAAGTTAATAATCTTAAGGAAATATATTAATTAAATATTAGAAAAAGAATAAATCTAGCTCTTAATAAATATAATAAGTATACTAGTACTTTTTATATAAAAGGTTAATAAATTACTATAGCTTTATATAAATTATAAAGGCTTAAATATAATTATTATTAAGAATTAATATTCCCTCCTATAAATTAATAAATTAATAGACTAACTAGTTAAAATTAAATAATTTATTAAACTAGATTTATAAGATACTTATTATTAAATTTATATTTATTAAGATAATAAGTAGAAAATAATATTTTATATAAAATATAAATATTATAAATATTTAATTATATTTTTTAAATTATATAATACCCTAGCTATCTTTTAAATATATATTAATAAAATAATAAAGGAAATTCTAGATAAATTTTATATAATATATTTAAATAATATCCTAATTTACTTATAAATAGAGAAAAAATATAAATATTATATTAATAAAATATTATTATATCTCTAGAAGTATAATCTTTATATAAAATTTTTAAAGTATAGCTTTTATTAGGAAGAAGTATATTTTTTTAGCTTTATTATAAGAATTAAAGAAATCTAAATAGATTTTAAGTAAGTATATATTATAGATAATTAGCTAGAATTATATTTATTTTATAATATTTAAATATTTTTAGGATTTATAGGATATTTTTAAAGATTTATTTACTAGTATTTTAAGATTACTACCTTATTAAGTAATATATTAAAAAAGATAATAAAGGGAAGAAAGAGTAGTCCTTTTAAAATAATAGAAAATAATTAAAGTATCTTTAAGATATTAAAGTAGATATTTTCTAGATTCTTAATATTATAATATTTTAATCTAGAATAAGAGATATTCTTAATAATTAATATATTAGATTTTATAATTATAAGAATCCTAATATAATATAATAATATCTAGTTTATAAAAATATAATATATTATTTAGTAATTTATAGTTTTTTATTTAAGAAAATTAATTAAGATAGAGAAAAGATATAAAACTTATAACTAAAAATTACTAATTATAATAAAATATTTTAAGATATAATACTATTATTTTAAAGATAATTTATATATAATATATATATAAATAGATTATATAAATTTAAAATATTTTTATATTATTAAAATTCTAAATTAATACTAGACTAAATAAGTTAAGTTCCTAGTAATATATAATTTCTAGATTAAATATTAGTCTAGTAGCCTTAATCTAGCTAATATATTTTTAAAGTAAAAGGATTATAAACCTATTTAATAAGATATAGTTAAGAGACTCTTACCTATACTTTAGGTAAAGCTAAGAGGTTTATAGAATAATTAAAATAAAAATAGGATAATAACTTTCTAAGAAATTCTAATTATATAGTTAAAAGATCTAGAACTTTTAACTTAAAGAATACTAGTATAAAGAATAGCTAGTAATAAATAAGTTTATAGAATACTATTAATTATTTTATAAGATTTATTTTAGAAAATATAATATAAAAATACCTATATAAATTAAATTTAAAGTAATACTAATAAAGAATATCTAGTATACTAGAAATATATTTAAATAGTAAGGAAATTATCTAAATAAGAAGTAATAAAATAGCTTAAAAATAATATTAAATAAAGGTAAATTTATAAGAATAAATAATATATTAATAGTAATAAACTAGTATAATATAATAAGGTTATTTATATTTCTTTTAATTAAGTAATATATTAAAAATTACTAAGAATATATTATAATAACCTATATATAGGCTACTTTAGTTAAGAAAAAATATTAGATTTTATTAAATAAAAGTTCTACTAAAATATCCTATAATATAATATTAAGGAGTATATAAAAAGCTATTTAATTTACTAGAAAATAAAGATATCTAGATAGCTTTTACTAGACTAGCTTGCAAAGCTCCTAGTACTAGAATATCTTTAGTAGAACCTAATTCTAGACTTTATTATAGGCTTACTATTATTAATATAAAAGGGGCATGTATATAATACTATTTTAATAATTATAGATTAATATATTAAGAGAGTTAAATACCTTCTAATAATAGAGAATATTAATATTAAAGAGCTAACTAATATATTTATAGAAGAGATTATACTTAAAATAAAAATATTAAGAAGTCTAGTAAATAACTATAGCTTACTCTTTACTAGTAAATATTAGATCTAGCTATATTAAGAGCTTTAAGTTAAAGAATAATTAAGTATTATATTCTATCTATAGATAGATAATTAAATAGAATATTAGAATTAGATATTAAAGATTTA